CAGTGTTGTTATTGGTGTCAGGATTAGGAAGTCGAGAGAGTACATCAGGCACACTATTATCCTTTCCGGAGTGTATTGTATTTCGGGTGCAATTGATTCTAGTTCAGCAATCCATCTCACAAGTCTGGGTGTTGGCTTTTCTTGACTTCTGAAATACTTGAGTGGAAGGTGATCAGAGTATACAGTATAACCTGCAGGACATCCATCTATAAAGCATCGCCAAGTACGGAGAGCATGGATTATTCCCAGAAGTTCCCTTTCTTGGGCAGGATAGTTTTTTTCTGCATTGGATAACTTTTTGGATTCATATGCCACAGGGTGCCATTGTTTGCTAGGGTCATCACCAGGTTGTAAGAGTACAGTACCTACACCGAAATCCGAAGCGTCGGTTTCTATTCTAAATGGTTTAGTCATGTCTGGTAACTCTAGGACGGGAGCAGTGGTTAGTAGCTTTTTTATAATATCAAAACTATTTTGGCATTCACTAGTCCATATAATGGACCTCTTCTTGGGTCCAGTTCCTCTTGTTAAATCAGTCAATGGTGCAGCAATCGAGGCAAAGTTGGGAATGAAGCGGCGGTAGTACTGAGCTAGTCCAATGAATGATCTGACTTCTTGTACATTAGTTAGAATAGGCCAGTTCTTGATGCTCTGTACTTTGGCTGGATCAGGGAGTATTCCTTGAGGTGTGACTTTATAACCTACAAAAACAAGTTCTCTTTTACCAAATTCACATTTCTTAAGGTTACCAATCAACTTTGCTTTTCTTAATCTATCCAATACATGTTGTACATGTTGTCTGTGTTCCTCTTCTGATTTACTGTATATCAATTTATCATCTAGATATACTAGTGCAAACTTATCGAGACAATCACCGAGTACATTGTTCATCAGATGTTGGAAGGTGGGTGGTGCATTGGTGAGGCCAAAAGGAAGTACAAGAAATTCATATTGTCCATATCTAGTGTTGAATGCTGTCTTTTCTACATCATTAGGGTGTATTCTGACTTGGTGGTATCCACTCTTCAAATCCAAACTGGTGAAATAGGTGGAACCCTGTAGTCGATCGAGGCATTCATCTATTCTAGGTAAAGGATGTTAATTTTTAGTAGTAACTTTATTCAGGGCACGATAATCGATGCACATTCTCATTTCTCTATTCTTCTTTTTAACAAATAAGATTGGTGCTCCCCATGGTGATGTACTGGGTCTGATTAGTCCAAGTGACAGTAACTGCTTTAGTTGTTTTTGCAGTTCATCCAGTTTGGCAGGTGACATTTTGAATGGTGCTCTACTGATAGGTCTCGCGTCGCCGGTATCAATAACGTGTTTCACATCACGTTCTGGAGGTAATCCGGGAAGTTCATTTTTAAATACATCACTATATTGCTGTACCAGCTTGCTCCAGTGGTTGTTTCCATTAGAATCAATACTTAATAAGGAAGAGGTAATCGAGGAATTGTTAGTAGTAACATTGTTTATATGTACTATGTAACCATCGGCGTCATGTTTTCTTATTAAACGATCCACTTGCTTGTGTGATATGAGATAATTAATGTGCTGTGATATTTTTCGAGGTGATTTGTTGTTAGGTTCCAGTGTAATAATTAATCCATTTTGCTGTAGGGCCCAAGTGTCGTTGGTCCAATCGGGATCGGCTTTACTTGTTTTTAACCATGATTTTCCTAATATTAAACCAAACTTATTAGGGAATATATACGCAGTAATCTGTTCTTTATAACCCCCCAAGCCAATACTTATAACGATTTTCCTTTTAATCTTGGTGATTTCTCCACCAGCGGTTTCAACATGTCTGTGCATTACAGGAATTAATTCGTCAGCAAGATCTACAAGTTCAGGTGATACATAGTTCTCACTGGCTCCACTGTCAATCAATACATTAATTTGCTGATCTCTATAGGTTGCTGTGTATATGGGTAGGGTTGTATCAATTGTATTCAGTTCTTGTATGTGTTGTAAGTCATCTGACAATATGCTGTGAATAATCGGTTGGGTTTCAATACGCAGGTTAGTTTGTTGTTTCTTCTTTAATGAGTTCATCTGTTTTGAGAATATATTTTGTGGTTTGAGTACTGGGAACTGTTTTTCACTTAACATCTGGCCAGAAAAATAAGAGTCATCATCAATTAGTTTATTATTTATATTATTATTGTTATTATATGAAGGAAGACTTAATGAAGTACGTGACTGAGCTTCCGTGTAATCAGCCACGTTTAGTGAAAATCCCGCTTCTTTTTTTGTCGGGCTTCATCCAGTGATTTGATATCAGCTTTTCTTGCTGGACAAAATGCTTTGATGTGTCCTCTTTTATCACAATAGAAACAAACTATGCTGCTGTTATAGTTAGTGTTACCGTTACGATTGAATTGTTATTCTTATTGAATCTGTTACTGTTGTTTCCATTGTTGTAATTGTTGCAATTATTGTTGCGGCTAAATGTTCTTTGTCTGTTGTTTCTGCTTATGGCATTAATGTCGTCAATTCCTTCAATCGCATCAATATCCATGGGATCATCATGATATGTGATTGTTTTTCTGTTTATGAAGCGTTCTTCACCGGCACTAAAAGTAATTGCAGCATGGATAGCTTCGGTTAATAATTGCACACCGCTTTGTCTTAAATGGATTCTCATTTTAGGTTCTTTTAGTCCACGAGTGAAACGGTCTGCAGCATCATCTTCGAGCATTGTTGGGATGGATAGTTTGATGTCAATAAAATCATTTATATATGTGTGTAAGTCCGATGTCTGTTTTAAGGCAGCCAGTCTGTCACGGGCAATCAATATCGAGTCTTCGGGGCGGAAGAATTGAACCAATAGTCTCTTTAGAGTTAACCAACCAGGAATGGGTTCATCAGGGCGCTTAGTAGAGCGGTACCATGCGTCGGCCCTATCACGAAGAAGGGAGATAGCATAAAGGCCTTTCTTATTATCGTCCCAGCCTTAAAGTTCTGTGTATCGTTCTACAGCTTCCACCCAGCTGTCAATAATACGTGCATCTCAAATACCATGGTAAGTAACTGGTTCGTTTGTTCGGAATCGTTGACCAGCACTTTTTTCCATTGCTTGGACCATACGTTCCATAAGAACCAGGGGGTCGAGTGAAGTAGGAGTTGTAGGAGGTTTCACAGGATCAGGCATGTTAATTTAAATATAGAGTGTAAGACCAAGAGTAGACCAAATATAACTTAAGAGTAGAGTTTTAACCAAGAGACAACCAAATGCTACCAATGTAAAATCCTTAGTAGACCAAGACCAGATATAGATAATTGTATAACCAAGATACTTCTTTTAATAGCAATTAAAAGAATACACGTAAAGTGAAGTTTATAGTAAAGATAAGATAAAGTTTATTTCCTATGCAATTTCATTGCATATTTATATGTTTTTGGGATATGAATATAAGATGATATTTACATAGAGGAATTAAGGGATAGAATATGATAGAGAATATAAATAGTATAAGGAAGTATGAATGATGAATAATACATAGTGAATAGAATATACGATAGAAATAATATGAAAGTAATATGATAGAACAATGGGATAATCATAAGAAAAGAATCTAACACCAAGGAATCAGATGAAAAGGAGCCAGAAGGATAGTCAGGATATCTACTTGTTGTTCATATGAAGAGCTGTCAAATATGGTATCGTTGTAATACTGCATTCTAATTGGTCGGAGGATTGGGTCTAGGTTTTGCACGTTTATTCGTTGGTATCTTTGGCTTGAATTTTCGCTTATTTAATCGCACAGGCACGTGTGGCCACAAAGGTTCCAAATTGAGCTTGACTATGTCTTGGACACCGACACAAATGTCGAGTCCAGAAGTACAGCTGTTCCTAATCAAGATAGTCATCAACCAATAGAAGTCCAGTACAACCTTCCGACCTAACATAACCCTAAAAAGAGAAGGTTCAAGCCTAACACCAGAGTGGCGCGAGCAAGACGAGACAAGCGAACTAAACTCAATCTTATTGGTCTCATAATCAAGATGCTCAAATAATATGATTGGTGGATTATCCATTATAGAAACATTCAATTATCAGATCAAAGATACCTCTTTATCGAAGAAGAAGACTATCCATATCACCAATCATTATTGTTCACATAGTTATTATTAGAGAATAATTGGATTCTACCTTATATATTATAACCACAATTCAATAGCTAGAAAACATATAAATACCCTGTTATTTTGTATTAAATAAACATGATCTTTTAACTTGGCTTTACTCTACTTTATAACTGTTCTTATTATCTTCTTTACTGTCTAAAGAAGTTGTTTGCTATTACCTGTCGTACATAGCCTGGTTATCCGTTTTTATAATCAACCTAAGATCTCTCACTTTGATACGTGATCTGACACAAATGTCAATTCGCAGGTAACCCAAAGCTTAATTGTAGTGTAATCAGAATCCAAAATCTATCTTTTAATACACGGATTAAAAGATACTATAAACCAAATGTAACAGTTATTTAAGAGTTAAGAAGATGGTGTTTATTGTATGCATTTTGATGCATATTTATATAAAATGAATAAAAGATATGATATGATTTGAATAGAGGATAATTAATAATAGAAGTGTGATATAATAACATATAAAGGATAGAAGATGATGAATATAAAATATAGAGTGGATAGAGTATACGAGAATATCATGATCATAGAGAAGTGTGTAAGAATAATATGAAAATCATGATAATAAGAAGAAGAATAATCTACATAGAAAAGAATCAAGTGAAGAAGAAACTAATGGAAAGCATGAGATATAAGGTGTCAGAAGGATAAATATATGGAAGGCAGTTCATACGGATGATTGTCAAAAATGGGATCAATGTTCAATCTTACGCCTCGAACGCTTATTGGCTGGAGCTTTTGGCTTGAATCTACGCTTATTCACTCTTGGCGGCACGTGAGGGAACAGGGTTTCTATAGAAGGACTTGCTGTGTAATCCACACTGACACAAAACCATATTGGATCATTGGTTTAGAGGTTATAACGCTTGCTTCACACGCAAGAGGTCGCCAGTTCGATCCTGGCATGATTCATTGAAGTTTGAAAAGTTCAGGATATATTTTGTGGTGTCTGATGCCTTTTTGTTAGTGTGTTGCCTATATCTTATCAGGTGTCGCCTATTTTTATCAAGTTGTACAAGTCAAGCTTATTAAGAAATGATATAATGGACAATTATAAAGCAAATCATGTGGGTCATTAGCAATCAAAAGAACACCTGAAATATTATAAATCACAGAACATACAATAGATTATAAAGCAACTAACATATACACTCTATACATTATCTGACTAAGAAGCTGTCATGCTTTTTATTATTAATCATAACTTAGCCCTTTGTAAAAGCATATAAATACCCATCATCTTTTATTCACTATGAAAGATTTGGACCTACCAAACTTGGACATTGCATATCTCAGGTTGGTAATATTCCGACGACCAAAACCAAAAAAAAGCTATACGATTCAATGGACTGTACCAACATCCGTTGGTAATACTTCGGCTCGGCCATTTTTAATCACGTGACTTTTACCCGGACAGAAGATTTATGTATAACTTTACTATTGGATACATACATCTCATAGATATAGTTACTATTGGATGGATTTATTAGATATATTATAGGATAGACGATATTATTATGGTTATAATTGAATGCAATGCATATCAAATGTATTTTATTATGAATAGAATAAAGAATTGAATTGAACTAAGCTATGAGTATTGAATTGAAGAGCTAAATATTGATGTATTGTGCACCATGAAGCATAAGAAGCATTGTAAACATTGACTTTTGAAGAAGATGAAGGTAGTAAGCATGGGTTGTTGTAATTGAGTGAATGAATGCACATCAGTTGCTGTGCAAGAGGGATGCTGATCAACATAGAATGACTCGACAATTCTATACAATAAAGAAATACTTTTAGTAACTGGATAATATAGACTACATGAGAACTACTTACATTTCACTTCTTTATTCCTGTTGATGCAACTAATTGAAAAGATAGAGTAAGTACAGTGTAAGCTAGTTAACCAATGAGATACATACCACACACAAGAAAGGACCAACATATACAGTGGAGACGAGGCTTAATAGAATAGAACTACAGGCAGAAGAGGTATCAGTAAATGGATCGTGAGTATATTATATCAACTTCTTACATATACACTTATAGTATCCGATAAAGCACCTAGTAGATAGACGTTAATACATTGTACTGCTATACCATAGACTAAAGAACATATCATACATAGAGTAGTGTTACAATTATATAAATAAATTGTTCAAACTTTTTTACGATAATATATACTTTATTAATAACAATTTTTGTAATTTATTTTATTATTGCATTTTATTTCTTTTTTGTTAAATATATAAATTTCGTATTAAAACGAAGCTTGACAATTTTTTTTGATTGATTTTATAACTTTTAAGTCACTTTTTATGATGACATAATGTATGTTGTGTTACTCATAGGGTAACAGCTGGATGGAAGAGATAACAGACATTGGTACATGGTAATTACTATCTAGATAAAGGTATAAGGGATCCATCCATATGTATATATTGTACCTAGTAACTTACTATTGTTCTTCATGCTCAGCAGTAGATACCTATTAGGAAGAAGTTAGTACACTACACAGTATGGGCATCATACACGAATAAGTACCGGATAGATTAAGTAAAAGCACCTGGATGATATACGATACCAACACACAGAGTTACTTCAGTGTAAGGAATATTGCTAATAGATAGTATAAATATAAAAATCATAGCAGACAATCCTATCATCATATATTACCAGTACATCCACAAAAGATATCAGGGAACAAGAATGTATACCAGGATATAAACAGGATTGATACCTTGAGTGGGGTAGAGACAGTGACGAAAGATAAATAGAGAGAGCAGAATATAGAAATAGAGGCAGTACACAGAAAGAGTAGAGAGAGAATCAAAGAAGAGCTTTGGATATCACTAAGAAGATACACTTTTGTTAGATGAGTAATTGCATCAATAGATAATCATGTTACGTACACCATTCGACTTCCTGAAACTGTCTTTATTCAATGAGAAGTGTGAATATATACAGCCATTACTATTTATATATAAACAACGTAGTACCTTGGTTAAGTAGAAGAGTAGATGGATGTCTTTATCAACATAAACTCTGATGTATAATCATGTTCATGGAATATTTTATCCTTATTGAGCCATTTACAGTAGACTTTAGATTATGTTAGAGAAGAAGGGAAGAGAAGAAAAAATTTTCAATCTATATTTCATCTATTATTAAGAGACTAAAAGTATTATTCTACCCAATCAAACCAGACTATTGTCTCTTACGTTTATTATTACTAGAGGAAAAAGAGTGGTAGAAAAGAGGATCCATATCTGCATCATTATATGTTTCAATGTAAAAAGGGTTGGTTGATGAAGAGCCAGCCGCACCAACAGAAGAAGAAACAAAAGAAGAATCATGGTGATCATAGTCATGTTCACTACAAATTGATAAAGAAATAAGTATCATATTTTCATTCATACATAAATGTGTATTCATTACACTAGAAAGCTGTCCAGACTAGATTCTCGATCATTATCCTATATACACATTACAATAATATGTAACAGGTACAATGTATTGATACTATAGCAATTACCAAATTCTCAACCACATCTTCATCTGTTTCCTTATTGTCCATGCGACTCTCTCTCACCATTGTCTGAGCCATTACAAGATTGGCTCCCCACTGCTCCTTACAACGGTATAAAGAAATGTTATTATAGTTGGCAAGAGTTTCCAACTGCAAACTGTAGTATCTCTGATATGCCTTCCTCATCTTTGTCCAACCCTTTTTACAAAGCACTCTGTTAGAAAGAATGTTGCTTCTTACAATCTTGGAGAGTTCCACAACCTTTTCATGCATTTGCTTTGCTTTGGAGTATTCAAGTTCGTAGGACCTGCTTGACAGAATATCCATGAATGCAGCAGCTATCCTCACAGTCGGTCCCGGTATCTTCTTCTTCTTCTCACCTGATGCAAGGTATATTTCTCTTGCTCGAGCAGTAACACTTTCGATATTTCTATCTCCTAGTTTGTTCGTGTTGTATGTGTAATCCAATACTTCTTGAAGAAACTTGGCTTTATTGTCTATAGTACTTATACATTTAGTTTGGAATATAAAAAGGAATATATATGTCACTTACCGTAAGGTTCACAAGAAGAAGGAGTAGGGACTGGAGGGAATCTTTGATTTATTATAGCCTTCATATCATGAACTTCTTGAGTAAGACCTTCTACTTTACTAACCATTTCCATCATCATTCTCTCCATTTTATCGTTGTGAGTGCTCTTATTCATGGTAATTCAAAATAGATATGTTAAGAGTTAATAGAGAGAATAAAATAAGAGTCCATATTGATTGTGATTACATCTTTTCATTGACATTCAATTACTACAAAGGGGTTGAATTCTCTTTCTTTGTAAATATCATCATCGACAATGACAATATGTGGTACCAGCTCCTGCATATGCAACTTTCCATGACGATGTTACTGCAAGTAGGTCATCGTGGGTGTTGAAATGATGTATCAAGGCTTATTGCCTCGTATTCAATCAGTCATCGATGATCTCATTTCAATTAGATGTTGATTCAATCGTCATATCGTATCAAAAGGGAAATAATCCATGATATCATTGCAATTTCCTACAATATGTAAAGGGTGCTTGATTTGACTGATCCATCACTCTTCATATTTTATATATACATTACCTTTTACACAACATGTCCAATAACAATTCTCAACCGACTCCCCGAAGTGAAAGAATCAGAAATGTTTACAACAAGTCCATATCTTACAATTGTTTCTACTGCTTGAAAGCATTTGACCGCAGTACCAAACGTTCAGCTCATATAAGGAATGCTAAAAATTGTAGAGAAATGGCAAAAGCCGCTGCTGTTGCTGCTGCTGCTACTGCTTTCGATAGAGATGTTGACATGGATATTTTCATTGATGATTGTAAGTGTATATTGTATTTTACAAGCATGCATATCTAATAACTTCTTTCTTTACTGTTAATTAGTTGTTGACGTTGACCAAGAGATGGATAACTATGAGCATCTCAATTCATTTGATGCAAGTGGTGCCACAATATTCGAAGCAACCCATATGGACAACAACAGCTTCTGTTATATGGAGAATATTGGCTTGATCTTGAATGAGTATGCCGTTGAAGCAAAGGTTTCTTTAACATACCAGAGAAAGATCACCCGATTGATAAATACTGTTATCAGAGATCTGAGGAACAACAAGTCTGGTTAGTTTTTGTTTAATCTAGATATACATTGTTTACTTACATTTTATTTGTTAATATAGGCACTGATGGATTTGTCCCTCAGGTTGATGTGTTAGAGAGAATGATGGTCAACAGATCACCAGTACACTATAAAAGATTTGGACGGACGAGATCTGCCTGAACTGATCTTTGATCCGTCCAATCCTTTTTAAAAGCTAGCTATCCAATCGAATCGTACTGCTTATGAGCAGTTGGAATGCCAAAGTTAATGTCAATATACGAAGGTTTGATTCGAATGCTGAAAGTGAGATATGTTGTTCATGAGGTTCTTTTATATGTCATAGTACTGTTTAAAGTATAAAAAAAGGATATATAATGTACTTTATAGCTCTTTTACAATTTGTATTTCAATCTCGAAATAAAAAATGCCAAATTGTGAGCTGTTCAAATGCTCCATCAATTTATTATGTCCATTTATATCACCAACTTGCCCGGACAGATTTTTTTTTTGTTTATTTCTTTATTTTTTTTATTTTCCGATTATCCCCTCTGATTTATCCAAAGATAAAACGGTTATATAAATTAAAGGTAAAGATACGTGAAGTACGATAGAACTCAACCAAGGAGAAAAAGATGTTTATTACAATTACAAAATACGGGTACTCTTATATAGTTAATTGGATTGGGGATAAGTGTATGTAAGCAAACCTTGGATAAGGTGATTACATACAATCAGT